CGAAGGAGCCCAGCGACGTGCGCTTCGCCGTCTCTGCAGCTTCAGCTGCTTTCTGGATGGGAAAGAACATATCGACGGCAAACTGGTTGAGAGGCGAGGACTCTGCAAAGGCTACGAGTTGAAACAAGCATCCCATGGCCAACGATGCCCATGGCTTGCTCATGATGCCCACCGAAACTGAAGTCCCTTGCTTTTGGGACGGTCCTCGTGACTTAAGCCACTCTTCTTGCGGATTCCGAAGGTTCAATGCCTTGCCACACTCTCACGCTGGTGGGTGCTTTCTACACGGGAGGACGCTTAGCAAGCAAAGCAATGCATTTGCAGAGAGTCCTTGTCTAGGACCACCACTTATTGGAGTACAGTATAACATAGTATAACCATAACCACCGTCATACCACAATCATAGGTCTTATCGGAAACATAAGCATCATGATCATCGTAATCATCATACCAGCGCACAATTCGCTCACCAAGTCGTCAACTACATAAACACAGACCAAATGTAAGTAATGATAAAAATAGAAATCATTGCTATTCTTGTTATTATTAGCATTTGAGAATACAAACTAACAACAAACAACACGAAAAAGGTAGCGTAAACGCAATAATAACAGTGGTAACCATAGAACTAACGGTAAAAACCTTAGTAGTAATTTCGTAATAACAAGAATCACATCAGTAGTAACTTGATAATGATATGTAAAAGTAGGAGTCATGAGAACAATAATAACAACAATCAAAATACAAATCATAATACTAGCAGACTAGCAGTAACAGCAGCAACAATCACAACAACAATAAGCATCATGGGGCCCAGTACCTTTCTTGAAACTCAGAAGCAAACTCTTGTTGGCACGTGCTCTCATTTCATAGGGCTTTAGTTTAGAATTTGGGTTTCTCGCTGTCTTTGCACGGGTGGTTTGTGTTTGCTGATGCTTTTCTCAGGTTCTTCGACATTAGAGCTACAGTAGGGCTTGGAGTACAGCGCTGTTATGACAGCACACGAGGCCTGAGTGAGCCTTCGAAAATAACTCCGCCCCTGCGCTGAAGCGGCCCTAGAAACCAACACAGTCAGCCTAAGCTCAATTTCATTCCCTCACAACTTCACAACGAAGCCGAGCAAGAACAAAGCCAAGAGAGTTGACATGGTAGCACCAGTGCCCAAACACAGTCCCACCATGCCTAACTTCTCTCCGTGGCATTCTCCACCATATCCTATGCTCCCGAAACCTTCACCAGAAGATCGAACCCTTACGCCCCAAGCCAGCAGCACGAACTTTCCTCACCTTGCTGGCCACATTGAGCCTTGATGGCTATTGAGACGTCACACCCCAGGGAAGCACTGAAATGTGTGAAAGCGCTGCAGCGGATGCAGTAGATGATCGGGTAATTCCCGGACCTCCTGCACTGCACCTGCTCGCGCCCCACCTGTGCAAAAGAAGTGCTGGTCAGCTGCTTGCAACTCGTGGGTGTTCGGAAGCATTGCACTTCTATAGCTCACAAAGACATGATTTAAGTCCTCTCAACAAGCCCGAAACCCTCACCCGTCGTCCCCAACACCCTGTCCTGGCCCAGCACCTTCTGTATGTAGGAATTCCCAGTCTGTCTGTGGCAGGGGCTGGTAGCTCTCCAACTTCGCTCTGCGACAGGGATGGATGCAGCAAAGCACAACATCACTTCTCACATCCCAAACACAAGTTCCTTCCTCATTATCATCATCACGGGCGTGCCAGCATCAGCGACCTCTAGCACGATGTACCACTGCGCGGATTATGACTATACTGCGAATCTACGAGGCTCCACTATATACGACAAGGCACGACGACGACTACGACTACGGTGACTACTGCTGCTGCTGCACTACCGGTATGCCGCTATGAGAAAGATACCAAGTACAAGTGTCATCAACAGAATTCGCACATGGGCAACAAGCCCCAACACCACAAGAAGGAGGACAGCAACTGTCGTGGGTCCTCCGGTGAAGAATGAAGACCAGAGAGACGGATGCTGCCAGTATGGTGCCGGCGGCGAGAGCACACCCCATCATGTGTCCTCTCAGCGCACATACATCCAAAAAGCAGCAAGCCAGATTCATGAGCCCAAGCACCTCAAACTCGCGAGCATTGCCGTGCAAGCACGGTAGGGTATGCAAACGGACAATCCTAGGAGACGAAACAAAGATAGAGAGAAAGAAATAATGCCATATACACTTACAGAGATCGATGGGAGGTACGAGGTGTCTCTTTCCTGTTTGTTGTGCGGCTCTTCGTAAAAACTCGTGCGCATGCGCGCATGTGCTTGCTCAACCCCACTGCGCCAGCCTCCTCGGGGGTTGACCGCAGGCTCCGTGCTCCAGAGGCGCATCGGCTCGGTCTCATCACAAGGGTCGCCGGAAGCTTCTGGAGCCTGCAGGGCCAGGGCAGCATAGGACGAGTGCCGCTCAAAACTCGCGAAAAAAACAGCAAGTCGCATGCAGACGAGAAGGTCGCAAGGGAAATAATTTGCATAATATTATTTGTCTGTTGTGATGATTCTATTTCCGTTGTGGTCTGTCTCACTCTTTCTCTCTCGATCCCTCTCTCTCTCTCTCTCTCTCTCTGTCTCTCTCTGTCTCTCTCTCTCTCTCTCTCTCTGTCTCTGTGTGTCTGTCTCTGAGTTCGGTGGTTTCGACCGAGCAAAGTAAGGGTGCTTTGGCAGCAAGGGGATCTTGCCTTGTCGGTGGCAAGGCGCCGTTCACTCCTTGCCCAACGCACCTGGGCCATACAGACGGCCTGGCTCAGCAAGCTGCGGCTGAAGGATGTGTTACCTATACTGAACTCATACCCACAGCAAAAATTATGAAGTTTGGCCGTCTCTAAGGGATTATAGGAACCAAAACTTACAAAACACAACAACAACAACAACAACAACAACAACAACAACAACAACAACAACAACAACAACAACAACCTAAGTAATCAATCCTAAGTTGCCCCGCTGGGGCTTCTGGAGCTCCAGGATCACGCCCTGCAGCACTATGGCCGACACCATGGAAGGTGCTTCAGGCAGCTTTCTGGCCAACTCCCCGTGCCAATAAGCAGTCTGTGCCTCCAAGGGCAAAAGGAGGTACCCTTAAGAAGGACTCCTAGGTATATACCCTTAATATAGCTATCTTATACCTATTATATAGCCCATTATAGTGGGTAGGGGTCCGCATTAACATTTCCCTCCTTTTCACCTTGGAGTGCCTTGCCGTTCTCCAGACATTCGGCAGTGGCCGGGTGGCAAAGACGGAAGAGCTCCGTCATCTGCTCGCGGAAATCGAGCTTCGAGTTCCCCAGCAGAAGCTCTGCGGCCACATTCCGGAAGTCTTCTTGTTTTACGGCATCGGATAAGCTATCAAGATCCACCTCCAGCTTCCTATCGCGACCCTCGCTGGCTTTGGCATAGCATTGTGCCGGGGTGCTGTATCCCAGCCCTCTGACCAAACCACCACCCCGCAGACCTAGGTTATACCAGGCTCCTGCATGATGTGGATCCTTAATTGCCGAGTTCATAAGCCCCCAATAACTTCAAAAAGTCAGTTGAACTAGGGGATCGTACTATCCCCCAGAAACCTATAAAGTAGACTATTGTCGCCAGCCGCGTAAAGTGCATACTTGGAGGGTCGGGGGACTTAAAAGGTAAGGTTATAAGTACCCTAACTGGGGTTATAAGTATAGTTACCCTAATTATAACCCTAGTTACGAAGTCCCATGATCCTTTAAGTACTAGTTCAGCTACTGAGGATCGATCTTCAGGGCCTTCTCGAAGCAGTTTCTTGGGCTGTGATCCCTCCCCTTCACTCGGCCACCTGGGAGTTTCCGAAAATTAGGGGGTTCCTTTTTGGGTTCATTTAAAGGGTTACTAGAATCACTAGAATATAAGGGTTCCTTTATAGGGCTCTATATGGTTTAGAGTTTCCCAAAATTAGGGGGTACCTTATTTTGGGGTCCTCATAATACGGGCCCTACTAGTTAGGGTAGTATCTTAGGGTCTTAGGGACCCCTATTTTCGGCAACTCGGCCGCCTCCCACGGCTCCCAGCTCGTCCCAGGCGTTGGCGTCCTTGGGATCTAGGCCCAGGGCCTTCTGAAAGCAGGCCTTTTCGGAATACCACCTCCCCTCTGTTCGGCCGCCGCCGATGACTCCCAAGTTGTACCAAAAGGCGGCGACCGTCGCATCCAGCTCCAGGGCTCGAAGTTCGCAGTCTTTCGGAGAGAAATGCCGGGAGCCGATAATGCCCCCTCCGTAGAAGCCCAGCTCGCCCCAAGCCTTGGCATCCTTCGGGTGACTTCTGAGGCGGTCGACGCAGTCAGGGGCGCTCCAACAGAGCGAGAGCGAAGAATCAGAGGGATGAAACAGCGAGAGGAGCAGGATCCCATGCGAACTCGGACGCGGCATCATGCCGGAGACTGGCAAAAAGCTCGAGCCAGCAAGGCCAACATGCATGGCGAGGATCTTGTGGTTGAGGAGCTTGAGAATAACAGTGTCGCATCTACTGTCTCGAAGGTTGGTCTTTCAGGCTACCGTCCTGGGCATTTGTGCACGCAAGCATTGCGGCAGCTAATGGTCATGCTTCTCAGGCACAGAGTCACAAAGAGCTGACATGTCTCAGCACGCTCTGAGGGGCTGGCCGGCCAGAGAAACTCGCAGAGAGGTACAGGAAGCTGACAGCAGACCTCTTCGACAAGGTCAAACAACGCTCTTTCACGACATTTGCGAGTGCAACGTGTACAGGCAGCAGCTGGCAGGCACCTGCAGCACCGTAAGGCAACAATAGCGGTGTGTGCCGTACTTTGCCTATCCAACCGTTTTCATCGCAGGCAAGCAGTCCAAGTGACTGCAGATTAATTGCTGCATATGGCTGCAATATAAACAGGAAGGGCAAAGGCGAAGGCAAGGTGCACCTGCACGTCTCTTGTGGCCCAAAATCCAAGTACAATGATGAATTACTTGCAACAAGCAAAAAACTTAATTTCGTCATGCAGTGTTGCTGGCTCCCCCGAGTTCGACCTTTATGTCCTGTAAGCCACTGCGGACTTCTTCACGAATCAGGGACTCCATCTTTTGCATGTGCATCTTCAAGTCCGTTCGAATGCTTCGAAACCCTTCAGGCGGAATATCGTTGCGTGTGAGCAGCCAAATCATGCACTGGTCGGCTTGCTCAGCACTCGCCCCAGTTGTGGGGGACTGCTTGCACGCCTGGCAGGGCAGGATGGTGCATGTGATGAACCATTGATTGGGTACACAGCGCAAGAACTCACTCAGTCGTCCATGCATTGCAGACTAGAAGCCTCTATCCTGGTGCCAATTCCGCTCGTGAAATTGAGAAATCTCCCCTGCCCGCCTTCGTCCAGAACTTCCGATTCCAGGGTCGGCGACCCAACTCCCACATCATCCTGGCGCGAGCACATTGGAAAAGCTGACGGCTTTGATCTTGATACAACTCAAAGTTTTGCCCGAGAACGCCGATCGACAAGTTCATCAACAGAATCGTAATTCCAATGCGGGTAGCATGGAACAGACCATGTATCCACACGTAATCAAAGTCGAAGCCCGGCTCGTCTTCCACGAACTCGTCGGAGTCATCACCCTCCGAGATATTGAAGTCTTCTCCATAAAACTTCTCAAATTCACCGAGGTTTGACTCATCAAAAACGCTCAGGCGCACCACTTGCAAGAATGCGACATAGACGGCATGAAGTGGTGATGGCGACTGGCGAATTTGCAGGCAATAATAGGCATGCGTCGCTGCAAAGGTGCATATTGCTGTCACCAGGATGATGGCTTTAGTGTCCTGTATCGCAGACAATATGGGAAGAAGTCTCGGGCCAAGCCACGACTCGCCACGCAAGGTGTACAAAGCTCTAACCCATGCCAGCGCACAGAAGCAGGGCACGGCTTGCTTTTCCAGCTCATCCTGCTGCATTTGCAGCACACAGGCGAACCATCCAACGATCACGTAAACGAGGTCGGCAGCGTTGTCGAAGTCGAGACAACGAGCACGGTGGACTTTGCCCTGCCAGACTCGTGTCGCAAAACACAGGTATTGCACTACTTCCTCCGCAGTCCTCTTGATGTGCAATGCAAGGATGCCAAGCCACACAGCTCCAGCGAACGCAGGCTGACCGTTCTTGGAAGCGAAGGAAGCAACGCAAAGCAGGATCACCGTCAGAATGCCGAAAGTTGATTCCAGCACGGTCTGAAGCCGGTACTGCTGCCAAGCTGCTGACACTACAGCCTCCACTGCATCTGTATAGAAAACAGCCTTGTTGGGTGCCTCCACAAGACACCGCAGGAGCCCTGAATGGCATGCGTCCGCACCGGATATACCTTCCAAAACTCGCAGCTTGACAGCGACAACCGGAGGCGCGGTGAAGATGCGACTGAAAGAGTGATCAATGTCCACCTTGTCGACAACGAAAGGATGGTCCACGCTTTCACTGTATTCGCTGCTTTTCTCGTAGATATCTTTATATATGAGAGAATCACATCGGGGTCTACCAAAATGACCCCGCTCGCTTCTGCGTTCAATAGCTCCGTCGTCTTCACCTGAAGAAACGAAGGGTTCATGACTTCACCAATGACACTTCGTCCCTGACCCCTTCCGACTCGTTTCTTCAACTCGACATTTTCTGGGCCCTGTAAGGAAGCCCTGCCTCCTTCTAAATCTTCAGGGCCAACGGATGGAGAGGCTTGACGATGCACGGGGAGGCCCAGCTTGCGCAATAGCTTCGCGCAAAAATGGACCTTCGGACGAGGGCTGTGTAGAGTCTACCACTGAACACGCGGGGGAAGGTCTTCTCTGAAGTTGAAAGTGTGACGAAGGCCCAGGAAGTTGGGAGGTTCAAGGCTGTGAGGTACGTGCTCGGCTTCCTTAACCAGGGAAAAGTTGGTCAACAGCACCAGCACCAATACATTGACAGCCAACTGCCAACAGTCCGTTTAGGGTTTAGGGGCAACGACGAACAACACAAACACAACCAAAACACGCACAAGAAAAACACACAACACCAAACAGCATAACAGAAACACCAGAAACAGCAACAACAACGACAACAAGGTACAAACAACAACTGCAGCCCCGTCAACCCATATATCTGCTTTTTGTCTGTACATTAGGTGAGACAAAAACAGGAGCCCTGTCATGTTGTTTTACCCCCCCACCACCACCACCACCACCTCCAACAGCAACAACAACAACGACAACAACAACAACAACAACAACAACAACAACAACAACAACAACAACAACAACAACAACAACAACAACAACAACAACAACAACAACAACAACAACAACACAGTGCCTATGGTGTATAGGGTTCGAATGCTTTGCAGAGGAGTTTTCAGTATGTTCAGCTTAGTTTCATAGATTTTGTGTGTATTTGCAAGGAGTTTGTGTGCATTTGCAAGGATTTTGTGTGTATTTGCAGGGAGTTTGTGTGTATTTGCCAGGATTTTGTGTTGTTTCTTGGATCTGTAAGACTTTCCAAGGACTTGTTACGTATATCCGTTGATTTTGTGTGCACTTGCAAGGTTTTTGTGCGACTTTTGTATGTATGTCCATGGATTTTGTGGTTTTGAAAAAATTTTGTGTGTGCATGTCCAAAGCATCAGACGTGGATCTGAGGGCCTGGGACCAAAGTCAAAGCAGCAGCCATGGATCAAGCCCTTCAACATCACATAAAACCCGTCAATCTCCCCTCAAACCCTTTTTGAACCGTTCGATATCTAGTGCAAACCCTTCAAAATTTCAGACATGCCCTTTCAGATTTCTGGATTTCTTAGATTCCGGTACCTGTGGTGGAAATCTGGTGTAATGTGGGTGGTTGTTGTAAACGGGGGGGGTTCAAAACAACAGACGGGGCTCCAGTTCTTGTCACTAGCACAGGGCAGAGACAAAGGCCCGATTGAAATCAGGACTTTGTCTCTACCCTGTGGTAGAGACCAAAACTGGAGCCCCGTCTGTTGTTTTGACCCCCCCCCTTTACAACAACCACCCAGCCTACACCGCATTTCTATCATGGGGCAGTTGCTGTAGTAAACCATGGCTCGCATTCCCCAAAACTCTACAGGCACCCTATGCGGTCGCCGGAAGCATTCCCAATTGCTTCTGAGTAACAACAATTAAATGCTGCTGCTTTGTCTGTACCAACAACAACAACGACAAGGCACAAACACAGACTGCGGCCCCGTCAAAACATATATATATATATATATATATATATGTATATGTATATGCCTTCTTGTCTGTACATTAGGTAGAGACGAAAACAGGAGCCCCGTCATGTTGTTTTACCTCCAACAACAACACGGTGCCTATGGTGTATAGTGCTTTGCAGAGGACTTTTCAATATTCTCAGCGTATTTCCATGGATGGTGTGTGTGTGTGTGTATTTGCAAGGGTTTTGTGTGTACTTGCAAGGGGTTTGTGTGAATTTGCAACGAATTTGTGAAGATTTGTTACGTATTTCAGTGGATTTCGTGTGTATTTGCAAGGTATTTGTGTCGATTTTGTATGGATGTCCATGGATTTTGTGTGGATATGAACAGATTCTGTGTGCGTATGTCCAAAGCATCAGACGTGGATTTGAGGGCCTGGGACCAAAGTCAAAGCAGCAGCCATGGATCAAGCCCTTCAACATCACATAAAACCCGTCAATCTCCCCTCAAACCCTTTTTGAACCGTTCGATATCTAATGCAAACCCTTCAAAATTCCAGACAAGCCTTTCCAAAACCCATGTGAACAACGTGAATCCCCTCTGGATTGCGCAGATTCCCGTACCTGTGGTAGAAACGTGGTGTAATGTGGGCGGTTGTTGTAAAAGGGGGGTCAAAACAACAGGCGGGGCTCCAGTTTTTGATTCAGCGGCTAATTAGCCCCAGGTCCGGCTCCTCGGCCTCCCAATGAAGCTTGAGTGAATGAGCATCTAGTTCGCACGATTTGGGCGCCAGCCCTATCTCCCAAGACTCGCTGCCGATTTTCCAAATTAGCGGCTAATTCGCCAACCCCCAGCCATCGCCATCGCCACCACACCACCTCCAGAAACAACAACAGCGAAGGCAACGGCACACGGCAATAGCAACAGCAACTACTTCAACCAACGAAGACGACACCGACGCCTAGGCCAAGACCCAGAGCAAGACCTGAACCAACGCAGCAGCCAGCCAGCAGCAGCAGCAGCAGCAGCGGCGGCATAACCAGCAGCGGTGGCAACGGCTGTGCAACAGCAAGAACAACCCGGACGACAATTACGATGCTGCGGCGCACAGATCTTCAAAGTCCCAGACCTTATCAGAGTGTTCCTCCAGGTTGTCCTGGGGCACAGTGTCGAGCTTGTCTTTGTCATCTTTGTACTTGGGCGCAATGACCGCGCGGAGTCGTTCTCCTAGGTTTGCTCGCTTGAGTTCGACAGGCTCGCCATCTCTGCATCGGACTTCGGCAGGTACCGGCCAGTTTTCTAGCCATTCCAATGCCAGAGGTCCACCGCTTCGTATCAGAGCGATGAAGAGCGAACTGCTTTTGGAAAACGATTCAGTCAATGGCTTGCCCAATGCCAGATCCAATGGCTTGCCCAATGCCAGATCCAAAGGTGTCATATTGAAACTGTCCTCTTTTTCAATGTCAGCCCCGAGCTTTAGGAGCATCTGAATGACGTCGGTTTGCTCGGCCTCCACTGCTTGGTGAAGGATTGTCCGCTTGGCAGCAGTATAGGTGCGAGCACCAAACGCGGCCCTCTTTTCGAGAAGGAGTTCCACCACCTTCCATTTCTCTGCTGTCACTGCCAGATCCAAAGGTGTCTTATTGGAGCTATCCTCTTTTTCAATGTCAGCCCCGAGCTTCGAGAGCATCTGAATGACGGCGGTTTGCTCGGCCTCCGCTGCTTGGTGAAGGATTGTCCGCTTGTCAGCAGTATAGGTGCGAGCACCAAACGCGGCCCTCTTTTCGAGAAGGAGTTCCACCACCTTCCATTTCTGTGCTGTCACTGCCAGATCCAAAGGTGTCTTATTGGAGC